TGACAGTCCAATTTTCTCTGAGAGAAAGGATCTTCTCTTTTCGAATAGTGCCATGGGATCTTTAACAACAAATAATATTCTTAAATAATCTTTAATAATTATTATCATATTCTGCATTTGGAAATAGACACCATATTTGTGTCCTTTAAGCTTGATAGAAAATGTGGTGAATTTTATGTCACTTTTGTGTCCTCAAGTAACTACCATACCTTTCTCCTGCACTGTCAAGCGCAGTGCCTGTGTATTTGTAGGCAAACGATGGCAGACAATTTGCACATAAGGTCCCACAAATAGCCTTGAAATAAATTCTCGACAAAGCTCACACTCACATAAGTTTTTACGACTGTTTGTGGGACACTGCTGTGCGCAATTGGCTGTCGCGTTTCGCCCACAAATATACGGTAATTTCACTTTACAGTCTATTCTTTGAGATGTCGGGAAGACGTGAAAAGCACTATATCAAATGCAAGGATTATTATTATTATTACTGCTCCCACATCCAGTTGAGTTTCTCTGGCCCCTAGTGACTGATTGTCTGATAAGCAACCTTTCCTCCCTCTGTCGCAACCTGTGCTGTCTTTCTCTCACTGTGGTCATTGCTCCTCTGACCTTTTCCCTCTTGTTCATCCCCACCATGTTGTCTAACAGGGTTAGACCTCCCTCACTGCATCGCAATCTAAACTCATCACTCATCCCTGCACTCCAGCTCATTTATTTCCAAGACCTCAAGGCTGTAGCTCTGTTCATTAATAATCGCAGACTTATAAAACTCAAGCTCGTCTCTGCTACTCTTTACAAACTTGGTGGCAGACTGCACCTAACCTTTCGCCCCTTCATCTAGTTTCTCAATGGAAAAAAACTGTCAGAGTTATAAAATAAAAAAAAGTGAAGGAAATAGTGACATCAATTTACCTCTTTGTTCCCTGAAAACTTGTCTTACCAGCCTTTCATTGTAGTTACATCTCTTTCCAAAACAGATCTTCTCCTGACAGGTGTAATGACCTTGTTTAGAGCGCTCTGTTATTGTGTCTTGTCTGGGAACTTGTTTCACTACATTTTATACCAAGGGTTCTACAGTTGTAAGGTACTGAGTAGTCACATACTTATCCCAACTAAAAGAGTAAGAAATGGTTGCAAAACTAATAGAGATTATCATACTAAGAGACTGAGTTCACCGTTCTTACAGCTTCACAATAGACCCATATGTATGAAGATGAAGAATTTACAAAGAGATAAATTGATGGCACTATTTCCTTCACTTTTCGTCAGTTCTGATGAAAGGTCATTGACCTGAAACGTTAACTCATTTTCCTCTCTCCATAAATGCTGCCTGACCTGCTGTGTGTTCCCAGCGACTTCCGTGAAAAAATTTCCAGCATCTGCAGTATTTTGCCTTTTGTATGAAGATGAAATGTTTCATGAATAATAATAATCCTTATATTTAATATAACACCTTGACTTTGTATTTTGTAGGCAAAATTTGCACACAATATCCCACAAACAGCCAGGTATTGAATGATCTTTTTTTAATTTGGGGGTTTGATAGTCAATACACTGGGAGAAACTCCCTTCCCTTTTCAAAAAGTGCAATGAGATCATTAATGTTCATCTGACCAGGCAAAGAGGAACTCGGTTTAACATCTCACCCGAACATTTTGAACTTTGAGGTATAACCAAATGGATATGGTCTCTTTTGGTCTTGTGCCAGCCTGGCTCAGTTGGTAGTACTCTTACCCATGAGAGTTGTGGGTTCAAGACCCACGTTGGGTCTTGGATCTCATATAGTCTATGTTAACATTCCAATGCAGTGTGCAGTATTGTTGGAGGTGCCATCCTGCAAATGATATGTTAAACTGAGGTCTCATCTGTCTGTTCACCTTACAGTATTACAGGAGTCCTGTAGCTCAGTGGTTAGAGCACTCGCCTCACAAACGAGAGATCTGGGTTCGATTCCCGGCAGGGTGAAATGTTGGGCAAGTTTCCTTACTCCACACGCTTCAGTTTACCTAGCAGTAGAAACCCGGATTGGCAGATCACGTTTCCGGGGGTAATAATTCCTTCAAAAAATAATTGGTCACTTCAATCCACGACTGTTTGTGGGACACTACTGTGCGTAATTGGCTGCCGCGTTTCGCCCACAAAATATACAGTCAATTCACTTTACAGTATATTCTGTGAAGTGTTTTGAGATGTCTCGAAGACATGATAAGGCGCTATATCAAATGCAAGGATAAAAAGTATACTCTGTGAAGCACTTGGAGACGTTCTAATGTGAAACACTCGATCTCATATATTCGGATTGTTATTATTATTTCTACATGACATAAAACTATATATGGTAGGGGTGGTTGGAGAGAGGATTCGTAATTGCTTATGTACTGTCAATACTGATTCATACCTGAATAACATTGGTATAGAATATATATATATATTATGTACATAATGAAGATCTATTTTGTATTGCTTGATCTGATTTCTTCACTGCTTGATTTATTATCTGGGACATTTGTGTACTCACCAGGTAGAAAGATGATACCACAGTAAAATAGCCCCATCTTCAACATCAATGCTAACCTTTCCCATCACTGCCCTAAAAATGACCCTCAAACTGGGACCATACTTTCATAATATACCTGTGCTTTACATATTTAGTCCATTTGATGTCCAGAGGTAAAAGGTAGAAACAAGAAACATCACTGTTAGCATTCATTTCAAAACTAAAAGGATTGAAATGAATTATGACCACCTCTAAGATCCTTTTGTATTTTTTGGTGTCTGCTGTTTTGGGAATGAAGGCATTTGCTTGAAGAGGTTTGCTGTCGATATCGGTGGGGAAACTGGCTGATAGCTACTGAGCCTGAAAGCATCAGGCAGCTGATTACCTTTGCAGTTGTAATTACAAGTTCTTTGAAGCAACTTGTGTTAATGTCTATTGACTGACATTAAATCAGCTCCTTCACATTGTTGACAACGAAACGTCTCCCACACAGTTTCCTCAACATTTTTGCTCAATCCTGAAAGTTAAAAATATTAATTTCTGAGGCTCCCTTAAGAGTAAGAATTAACAATGTGGATGTTTGCACCAGTTTCCTGACCGTAACCTAGATAGGCTGGTGTCAGCACAAAGTTATCAGGGTTACTTTTCATTCCTGAAATGAAAGTTGAATCATTTTTACTGCAGGTCGGTGAAAGCATTCCTTTATGTCTTACATTATCTTTTTCAAATATTGTTACCATCTTCCGAGCACTCCAGGTGGATTTGAATAATCAGCTCTTTCCCCATTCCCCAGTGCACACGGCAGTTTCTTGGTCTTTGGGAAATGTAAAGAGGGAAACCAAAGGTAGCACGTTATTCAGCTGGTTATTTAAGATGTCCTGCTGAAAGTCAGGAAGCTTTTCACTTCCTATTTCTTATCATTCACTCGCAGCTTGGCTCAATCACCTCTCCTTAGTTCAACAATATAATTTAGGACGAAGCTAAAAATATTAATCACGTTGTTTAGCCCTGAAATAAAAGAGATTGACAGCTGAAGCCAGAGTGCGATTTGCTCCTTGTTCATTAAGAGATGTTGAATGATCAGCCACACAGCAGCCACTTGAAGCTTCAGTGACAGACAGATAATGGAGCCTTCCATAGAATACAAATCAGACAATGTTTAAAAAAAATACAAAGGGGAATCTTGAGCATTGACTTCAAGGTGAGGACGTTGCTGTATTGAACTATTAGCACTGAAGGATTTTATTAGTTACTGGTGATCTGGTATAGGGTAGCAAGTATGAAGAGTTGGATTGGCATGGTGGGGGAGAGGGGGCTCCTGAGGCTAAAGGCAGTTTCATGATGTGAGGGCAGGCTTAGTCACAACAATCACCAGAGAACCAACTGCACGCGGCTCCAAGAGACAGAGGATCCCGTTGAGTGAAGAAACCTTTGTAGACTTATTTCTGAGTAATGGGCTCTTGGAGGATACTACAGGATTCCCCCTTGGAGAACAAGGGGGAGTCTTGCCAGAGTGAAGAGAAATTGGAGACTTCCCTAGGCTACAGGGGCAGGGGTGGTCAACTAGCCTAACATCCGTCACTTTGTAAACAGAGCATAGTTTCCTACCTAAGGGAGTTACAAGTTGCTGGAGGACATACGTCTTGAACAATCAAAGGTCCAACACGTGGCTCTGTTAGTTTTCTTCCGCTGCCTGTTTTGAATTTTAGCAATGGCTGATTATTACACATGCCCTTCAGCCAGACCAATTCCTGCTGCAGTATAATTTAGTTGCTATGTAACTCTAAATCTCAAAAGAAAGCGGTGTGACACCTCCTTTAATATGAGGCACTAAAATTGGAAACACTGAAATAGTAATGAATTCACGCATAGTGAAGCATTCAGAAAAAATGCAGGACAGCACCCATCATCAGTGAGTTGTGATTATTATTATTGTATATCAATACAAGATAATTGGCAAGAGAGCAAAGGAGGAGTTTAGGGGGATTTTTTTTACACAGTTGTTAGGATGTGGAATGCTCTGCTGGATCTGGTGATTGAGGTAGGTTCCATATTAGCTTTTAAGAGGGATCTAGATATATAAATAAAGAGGAATAATTTGCAGGCATTTGAGAAAAAGCCAGGTAAGTGGGAATGAATGGATTACTCTTTCAAAGAACGACGTGGTGAGCTGAATGACCTTCTCTTGTTTTGTAAATTTCTAAAGTTCCATTGCTACATTTCCACTGATGTACTTTTGCGCCAAATTCCTTCTCTGTTCCCGCCTTTTGGACAACATGAAACACTAATTTGGAAGCAGTTAGAAATGCTGTTAAGAGTTAATTTCCAGAGAGTCATGTTTCTTTACAATGAATTGATAAACGGGTTTAGATTGAAAATGTTATAAGTCAAAGTATATTGCTTCTGCTTTCTTTGCAAGGGAGGTGTTTGACACCAATAGCCAGTGATATGTTGACTCAAAGTAACCAAATTGCAAATGCTCTATAGTTATCAATAGGCTCACCTGTCAGGTTTTGCAGGCCTAACTGTCTCAGTCCAAAGTTGCCATCTTTTTTGTAGTTAAGCAGGACCGTCAGCGCATATCGTTCTTCATACATCTTTGTCCCACGGATGATTCTGAGATTCTCCAATGGCAAGTATTCAAACTGGTTCAGGGCTACCAAGATATAGCCAGTGACTTCTCGGATGGACTAGAAGAGAAAATACATTTATGTCAGAAAATTGACAACACGTCAACAACAACTTGCAATTTACATAGTGCCCCTCATGCAGTCAAGCTTGTTTTTTTTAAATGAGTCCAGTGTCCTAGCCTCAAATGGTCGTTAATTAAGAAATACTTAATAATATTTACATTTTATTTGATGCAACAGCTTTGACAATGGGAGGACTTCTCAAAGCACTTTAGAGAATATCCTTTAAAGTGTAATGACTGGGTACATTTGTAAATAAACTTAGCAACCAATATGCACACAGCAATATCCCACAAACAACTGTGAAGCGAATGGTCAATTTTATTTGGGAGGTTGTCGGCCAGGGCACTAGGAGATATTCCCTTATTTTTTTGAATAGTGCCATGGGATCTTTAACATCCATTTGAAACGTCTCATCCAAAGGACAGCATCTCCAACAGTGGAGCACACACCCAACCACCCCCCCACCACCCCCCACCCTGCACTGCACTGGAATGTCAGTTTAGACTGTGCAAGTTCAGAGCCCCAACATGGGGTTTGAATCCACAAACCTTCCGACTCAGAGGCCAGAGTGTCTCCAAACTGTTTCATGTATCAAAACAAAAGGTTTTATTTAAAACCTTCAATAAAAGCGCATTTCGACCACAAAATACAATCAATTTACTTTACAATATATTCGGTGAAGCGTTTCTTGAGACGTCTCAATGACGCCAAATGCAAGGATTATTATTATTATTATTAACTGACACTTCCTGGTGTCTGTCTTGAAATTGTTCTTTTTCAGCCCTAAACCTCTGCCCTCTTGTTCTGATGGTTCATTAAACAACTGGTGGCACCTAGTGGTAAAACAGATTGCAATTTTTAAATCGGTGATCTGATTCCTGTTATAAAATCAAAACAATGCACAGCAGGCAGATTTCCATCTGGTGCTGAAAGATAGGTCCACATTTTGGATTTGACCCTTCAATACTGACAACGCATCACCCCAAAGACATTTGCCTACCCAGCATTTTCAAATGCTGATTGTATGCTTTGCATCTGAACCATTCACTGTTTTAATTTGCTAATTCAGTGCAAAGACTAACATAAAGATTGAAGTTCTGAATATTTCGACAGTGTGAAGTGACAGGTCCTGCATTTGGAAGATGGCAGAATCATATTTTTTTACTCTTGTATTGTGCTGCATGGCTGATTTTAATGATATTGCATTAGATTTGACATATCACCGTAGAAATGTTGTTTCAGTACTTAGGAGTGAGTTAATAATGCTGCATTTGGAATATTTTATTACGCTGAATTGAATTCATTTCCATCATTGCTGAGATTCATGACTGCTATCAATTGGCAAACTACAAAGTTTAGAAAATTAACCAGATACAAGCTTGAGTTCATCATGGCTTCCTTTGATTTCTCAAAAGCCTTTTTTTTGGAAAGGAAACAGAATTCGCAACTTGAACAGTTCTGTATGAATATAACCCGAGATGAAGCGAGGTTATCCCTCTCCAGTTTAAAAGCACATTCAGACTAGTTTTGTTGTGATTGGCACAATTTACAGGACGGAAAAAGAAACGCAGATTCTAAATTTGCAATGTAAAACTTTACAGAGGCATTTACATAACTCCTTTGGTTGACCTTCAAAGAGATAAACAAATTCACAACGTAGTAGTGGTGGAAAATCATTGTCATTTTGTTATCTGGTGTGCTGCACTCCCCCCTATAGCTGTGGAGAGACTGTATTGTGTTGTGGAGTTTCTGTGAAACTGAATGCTCTCTTTTCATATCGGTCATTCATGATTGAGTAATAATGTATGCTTGTGTTGTGGTATTGGGAAATCATCACGCTGACTGAAAAACAAGACTGCCATTTAGATGCCCATCTGGCTCAATCAGTAGCACTCTCACTCTGAATCAGAAGTTCACAGGTTTGTACCCCAATGCAGGACTTTGAACACAACAACAACAAAATTACATTTGAATAGCGCCTTTCACATCGGGAGAAAACAGTGTTGGCTGACACTCCAAAACAATGCTGCACTATTGGAGATGCATAAAGAGGCTTTAAACCTCTCACCTGCCTGTTCAAGTAGAAGTTAAAGATCCTATGTCATTTTTTGAAAAGAGATTTTCTCCCAATCCCCAAATCAAAATTGGCCATTTTATGGCTGTTTCTGGGACATTATGTGCCATGTTTGCCTACAACCTCAACTTGCACTTAAAATTCCAGAGAGCAGGGCACAGCGTCTGAAGGCTCAGTCACCAATGGTGACAAAGAGGCCGTAGAATGGGCAGCAGATCTGATTCAGATCACAGAACAGTATGACAGAAGACTGGAACTGGATAAAATTACATATTTTATGTCCATGAACATATTCAAAAGTAGAACAAGTATCTTAAGGTCAATCGACTGGGTACTGGAAGCCGATGTGTTTGTAGAATTTGTGATGATCCCTGCCTCAGGGGGACCACAACTCAACATATTCATCCTCAATGGCCATGTGGTTTTAACAGGTTGAACCCCAACAGTATATCCAAATCACACTCAGGGAACCCCAAGCCTTGGCTCTTGCCAACCTGTACCTCTCTGAAATTAGGTAATCGGGTTGCATCTCGTCAGGAAGAGTGCGCACATTCCATTTCAGACAGCAGGGAAATTTCCATGGGTTGGTGGCATACACACACAGAACTCTGTCTGGTTTGTATACTCTTTAAGTATGGCGATAAGCTCCCCATATGCCATACACCCAGCTAACCACAAATAAAATCCTCAATCGAGTCAAAAAGCACAACTGTGGTTTGATATAATCCAAGCAATTTGTTTTGTGGAAGCGTAACTTTTTTTTCAAAAAAGTAAAGTTTATATTCACAAACCCGTATTTAAATCAAGCAATCGAAACTCGTATTGAGGTTTAAGAACCCAAACTCCAAATACAACGTAGTAGTGCATACAAAGTCACCCAACTGTGCAAAAAGCTGATGTCACAGTGTGTGAGGCAGTACAGTGGCTATTTCTGAAATGTCATCCTGAGATGCATAAATGAATAATTTTGAAGTAGAAATTGGATTCTGAGTCAGTATGATTTAGTTTTGCAACTTTTTTGTACCATTGAAATCTCCAAATAATCCTCTAAAATAAGTGCAGGGCTGTGAGCTGCGACGTTCACCTGCTCTGCCAAACAGGGTGCAGCGCTACATTTTGCAACTCGCATGTCTTTCATGGTGTTTGGAGCACAAAGCTGCGGTTGGGTGAACTCTCCTCCAGACGTGAAAAATAGCACCTTTGCATCAGTTTATTTCCTTCAGTCTAAAAACTACAATGACAAACAGGTTGAATAAGAACTGTCTTGGTTCAGACTTTGCTGTGTCCCTCACAGTAAATGATTGCACTCTTACTGCAAGTCAATGACAGAGATAAAGAGGGATGATAGTCTTCGATAACTAAGGGTAAATGGTAAATTCCTCACTTCTGGCAATGAAGCTGTCAGTTATGGCAATAGTATTGGCAACAAGCATTGTTAACCTAAGGAAAATCACCAATTCGTCCCAAGAACTGTAATCATGTATGTTAACCCGCGAGACATTTTAATTTTTGTAACACCTATTATTCAAGTTTTCCAAGTTTTGTTGATTGACTCTAAAATGTTTATAACAGGAGAAGCTGGTTGCAAAACCAGATACGTATCATGTCAATTTGAGGGAATGCCACACTTGCATAATCTACTTGATTTATCAGATATTTATCAGGGTGACATGACTCACTTCCATAATAGGGCTTCTGATATGGATACTGTAGACTTTCTAGATGAGAGGACAATAGAACTTTTAATACAAAGGAAGGTCACCCAACATTTTTGTTAGCTCTTTGAAAGAGCACACAATGCCATTTATCTGCCTTTTTCCCTTCCTGTCTTGCTTCAAATTACTCCCATTTAGAAATCCATGTAAATCCCACTTGAAAGCTAATATGGATCCTACCTCGACTATCACACCTGGTGTTCCACATCCTGACAACTGTCTAAGTAAAGGAAACAAAATGCTTCACTCCTTTGATAAACCATCATTCGATCCATTTGGAAGTTTAACAGCTCATGAGCGCTCAGTCTCACAAACCAGAGGAACAAAATTAAATCACTGTCAATTTCCCAGATGTAGCAACGATCTAAACAGGCTCCGCTCAAACCAAACATTAGCAAAACCCAATTCGAGGTCTGATTTGTCAAATTTTCGCCAGATGGCACTGATGGATCAGTCAGCTGCACCTGTCCCAGTTTCTCCTGCAATTTGCCACTACCACTTTGGCCAAATTGGTAAATGTCTTGGCTATGTGATGCATTCAATTTGGCATCTCATAAGATTCAGGTGCAACCTTGGCTCGTATGTACTGAACACGTAGAACAGAAATGCTGCAAAGCTTTTTTTGTTGTTGACAGAATTGGGTTTTCAAAATTCATATAGCATTAAAAAAAAACATTTTCCAGTGGTTTCAGTATAATTATTATAATAATGGAATACAACATTTGGTGAAGTGTCATATCTCCAGGGAAAACACATGTTTCATTTCTGTCACATTCTGCCTGCAGAATTCTAAGGTTTGAAAAAACTGCTTCTTTCTCCCTGATAAAATACAAAATACTTATAAGAAGGTAATGTTAATAGGTACCTATTAACTCTTTCCTTGGATTAAGTCACTGCATAAGTTTTGAGCAAAATTCCTTCTTCCTGCTCTCTTGACAGGGGCGGAGTCATGCGGAGATGAGCTGACAGGAAAGCAAAGACCCAGCTAAATTGTACAATACTGTTCAAGTTACATGGGTTTGCTGTGCATCAGAAAGGATTTATTATGCGTTCAGTATTTGGATCTTTGTAACAAGATGCTTAAAAACAATGCTCTCAGACACAAAAGGTTAAGAATTGGTTAAGTGTTGGGTTGGAGCTGCAATGAAATGAGAGGCATTTCTTTACCCAGATGGTAATTAAAGATTGAAACAAGTTTTCAGGGAGGG